CTACCACTAGTTTTTAAACAAACTTACGTTTAAAACCTGTTGAAAGTCCACAGCCGGCACGTAAAGCATGCTGTGATAGCCTTGTTCTATTATAGAGAAATCCAGGAAAACCAAACGATGTTGAAGGATTAACCAGTGGTGTTGCAGGTCACACCCACTGGCTTGACTGACGGACTGAGACATTCTGCTGTAAAGTCTCATTATGAAGTAAATCAGCCATGGGGAAAAAAAAACACTATTATGAAATAAAAGCTGTCTTTGCTAAAAAGGCGTTATGTATTGTGGCAATACGGGAGTGGTCTATGACCTGTTGACGCCAAGGATGGCAATTGTACCTGCTCGAGTGTAATTTTATTAACAACGCCACCTTGGGAATTTCACCCAAGGAATTAAAGCATATAGATTCATTTCACTTGACAGTAGACGTGGTTTCAGAAGTTACAATAAATTTGTTTTATTTTATAGAGGAGACAGTTTAAAAGACATTTTAAAAACTGGCCATGTAAAATACCATAAAAGAATACTAAAATTAATGCCCCAACAGAAACTGAACCAATGAAATGTATGAAGAAACAAATTAATTTAACTCACTGAAATTGATTCATGAGGTCCCAAAAAAATGAGAGTTAACTAAACACAATTCAACTACAAATTTAAATAAATAAAAAGGTTAACAAGCAGGACTGAGGCTAGCGATGGAGGCAGGTAACGCGGGGCAGAGAAGCCCCAACACAAGAAAAATAATGAAGAACGTATAAAGGATTCACCCCTGGCAGTGAACATTCATACCAACGTGAGAAAACTAGCACCACCACACGCACACGGGACCACCACCTCCGAGGCCACACACCACACCTCCTGCCTCAGCCTGCACAAAGAAAAAAAGATTAAAAACGGTATAAAATGTGTACAATATAAATCAGCTGTTCTTCCTTCTGGACTCCGGCCACGAGCCAGGGAACTTCCTTCAAACAGCTGATTTGAAATGTAGAAAAAGGAAACGAAACAAAACAGCGGCGCCTCCCGCTGGACCACGGAGAAATCGATCCTCTCACCGATGACCCCTGAGTAGAAGGGAACTCACTGCCCAGCAGCAACGGGGATTCAATCTTTCCCGTTTGCTAATGTTTTGTTTAGCAAAGGCAAGCGATGATGTCACACCCAACACTGATTAATTGCCCAAGCACAGTTGGAGCAGAGCCGATCACCCCAAAAACGCAGCCAAAGGACACGGGTTGGTAACACGTAGTGGTACACTTAAAACCAGCCGTTTCCTGAAATTACTTCCTTACCGGAGGAGCTCCCCTTTTATAGCCGGAGCGCCCTCCTACGTATGGAGGGCGTACTGTTCTAAACCAATAAACTTGGAGCAGGTATTTCGTACTGCTACATTCCACCCCCCCCCCAACAGGAATCGTTGTCCCAACGATTAACAAAACTGAATGTCTCTAATCACTCCAAGGTCTAAAAACTTGTGCCGCAAAGCCAAACCCTGGGGGCGCCACAACCCGTACCCCAACATCACCCACCGCCCGTGGAAGATGGTGCATGTTCGAGTGCTGGCCTGCGGTTGAGCGCTGTGTCCGACGTAGATGCACAATGGGGGCAACCGCCTGCACCACAAGGTCGCCAGCCGGTGCCAACGGTGACCCCCCCAAACTAGGTTGCTGCTCTACTGTAGGACCAGATTCCTGCTGGTCCTGTTGTACTCTGGGCAGTGATGGCTCAGGGGGTCCCGCGGCACCAACAACCCTCTTAGGACTCAACTGATGGACATCAGTCCTTTCTAATACCAGGTCGTCGTCCTCCAGAGATTCCTCCGTGCTTTGCTCCTGCACCGATGAGGAAGGATAGCCCACTGCTACTGGTGATCTGGTCCATACCACTGGTTTCAACATTGAGCGATGAACAGTTTTACACTTTTGATCATCGTCCACAGGTGCGACCGTATACACCGGGCCCTCCCCTCTAGGAGCCCTCACCACCTTATACACTACTGAACCCCATACGTCCTGGATTTTATGACGCCCCTTGAAGCCCAGCTGTCTGACCAAGACAAACTGACCTTCCTTTAGTCCGACTTCCCTTACATGTTGGTCATGACTTCTCTTTCTACGTTCAGCAGCTTCCCTTAGGCGTTCGTTAGCTCCCTCAAAGGCTACCTTAAGCCTACTCTGATGTTCCTGAATCCACTGGTGTACACTGCCCCCTACAGGTTCCTCCACTTTTCCCAGCAGAAAATCCACTGGGAGTCTAGGTTCTTGTCCAAACATCAAGAAAAACGGAGACTCTCCTGTTGCCTGATGAGGTGTTGTGTTGTAACAATACAGTAACTGCGGCAGACAAGAATTCCAGTCTCGTTTCCTAGATACAGGTAACGTCCGCAGCAGATTGTGTAGCGTCCTGTTAAATCTCTCGCACTGCCCATTAGCTGCAGGGTGGTATGGGGTAGTGCGCGTTTTCTCAATGCCATATAGGTCACACAACTGACGGATGATGGTGCTCTCAAAGTTCCACCCCTGATCAGAGTGGATGCGGGCTGGCACTCCGAACTTTGAGAACCACTCCGTGACTAACACCTGAGCCACCGTAGATGCGTGCTGATTGCTGGTGGGAACTGCTAAAGTGTATTTACTAAATACATCCGTTAGCACTAGAACATTTTCCCACCCACCGCAGGAAGGTTCTAACACAGTGTAGTCCATGGCCAAGATCTCATTTGGTCGGGAGGCCAACAAGTGACCCATGAAACTACCTGTAGCTGGTCCCTCCTTGGCTACCTGGCATCGTTCACAATTTTGACACCACGCCAATACGCTCTTGGACATATCTGGCCAGTAACACCTTAGCCTAAGCAGCTCCAATGTCCTTTCAACGCCCTGGTGACCGTGGTTCTGATGAACCTCCTTTAACACCTCCTCCTGCAATGCCTCCGGCAACATTAGCTGAAGTGTATCCTCGGTGGTCCTTGGGAGGGTAACCTGGCGAAATAGAACACCGTTACAGTCAACAAGACGTTTCCACTGCCTTAACAAGGTTAAGGCTGGCTGGGATAGTTTTTCACGTTCCTCTTTATTAGGGCGCCTCCCCTTTCTCCAAAAGCTTAAGACATCTTTGATAACTGGATCGTTTTTCTGGATGACCCCTATTTCCAAAGGTGTACGCTCTGGGAATGTGGTCATCACAGCCTGGGTGGCTTCAGGCCTCTGGCCCTGCAGGACCTGCTTCAGAGGCTCTGGGAGGGATGTCCCTGGAGGCATGGCTCCCAAATCCTGGGCCCCTGTCGGATGCAGTCGTGACAAAGCATCAGCATTTACATTACTTTTTCCTGACCGATACTTAATTTCAAAGTCGAAGGCTGCCAGCTGTGCTATCCACCGTTGCTCGGTAGCCCCCAACTTAGCCGATGACAAATGGCTCAATGGATTATTGTCAGTAAAGACAATACACTTGTGGCCCAGCAAATATTCACGGAATTTTTCGGCCATGGCCCACTTTAAGGCCAAAAATTCCAACTTCATGGAACTGTAGTTCTCCATGTTCCTTTCGTTTGGTCTAAGCCCTCTGCTTGCATAGGCCACTGGTCTAACTTTGCCTTCCTGCTCCTGTGAGAGCACGGCGCCTAGTCCACCTCCAATATGAAGGGAAGTGAAAAATCAGCGTACGCTAGAACGGGCGCAGTGGTGAGTTTTGTTTTTAATGCCTCAAAGCTGGTCTGGCACTCAGCTGTCCAATAGCTGCTCAGGTCCCGATTGGATTTCCTCAACCCTTTCCCTTTTACGGTTTCTGCCACCAGTTTGTGGAGTGGTGCCGCCAACTTGGCAAATCCCTCCACGAACCTGCGATAGTAACTGGCGAACCCTAGGAACGAGCGAAGTTCTGAGGTCGTGGTCGGGGTCTGCCACTCAGCCACTGCCTGCACCTTCTTGGGATCTGTAGCGACGCCTCTGCCAGAAATGACATGGCCCAAGTAGCCAACTTCCTTTTGGAAGAAAGCACACTTTGCCAACTTTACCTTAAGACCCTCTCTTTGTAATCTGCCCAGCACCATTTCCAACCTCTGCAGGTGTTCCTCCACTGAAGAGGAGAAAACCACGATGTCGTCCAGGTAGATCAGCAACGATTGACACTGCTTATCACCGAATATCCTCTGCATTAACCGTTGAAATGTGCCTGGAGCATTACAAAGGCCAAATGGCATTCGATTCCACTCAAAAAGGCCAAAAGGAGTGCAGAACGCTGTTTTCGGCCTGTCTGCTTCTGCTACTGACACCTGATTATAGCCACTAGCCAAATCAAGCGTAGAGAACCAACCTGCCCCTGTCAGTGCATCAAGTGACTCCTCGATGCGAGGAAGGGGAAAAGCATCCTTCCTAGTTTTTGCATTTAACTGCCTGTAATCCACACACATCCTCAGGCTTCCATCTTTCTTCCTGGCCAGCACAATAGGGGATGCGTAAGGACTACTGCTCTCCCTTATCACCTGTGCTTCCAACAGCTGGTTGATGTGGTCCTTAACCGCCTCATAGTCAGATGGTGGGATTCGCCTGAACCGCTGACGGACGGGAACATCGTCCTGCAGGGGGATTTCATGTACAACCGAGTTAGTGCTACATGTATTAAAAACTGAATGAATTAAATTTTAAAAATGGCTCAATATTAATTTGGATTATTATGAAGAAATGACTTTTTTAAAAACTTTATATTAATAAAGACATTTAAAAGAAGAATGAAAAATATTTCATAATATTGAGCTTAGATTTTACATAACATCCTGTTATTTCATCATTTCATTGACAGATTACATAATTATCTAATATTTCTTCATGTAGCTATTTATTTCATAATGTCTTATTTATTTATTTATTTATTTATTTATTTATTTATTTATTTATTTATTTATTGAATTTTGAATGCTTTTGAGTTCCATAAATTATATCGTTTAGAAGCAACAATTTATTCTGGGGTTGTTACTCTTTAAGCTGTAGTACTAAACCGGCCCAGCAGGGGTCAGCAGCGCAGCGCCTGGTGTCTTTCACCTCTAGAGAAGAAGAGAGGCTAACAGCGCTGTAAGCTAGCTTCTGGTTTTCGGTTGTTTTTTTTTAAGACAGAAGGAAAGTTTCTTCTAACCCTGAAACCTGCAGCCATGGACGGTGAGTGTAGTCTAAAGGGTTCGATGGGGAAATGTTCCCCGCTGGTTGAGTGTGACCTCGTTTTGTGACGTAAAGCTGCATCTAGACAGAAAAAGTAGCTTTAGCTGGTTTCTCACAAACTTATCCAGTGACATTTCAGGCTAAAGACAACCTGTGTGTGTGTGTGTGTGTGTGTGTGTGTGTGTGTGTGTGTGTGTGTGTGTGTGTGTGTGTGTGTGTGTGTGCGTGCGTGCGTGCGTGCGTGCGTGCGTGCGCGTGTGCGCGCGCGTGTGTGTGTGTTAGGTGAAGCCCTGCTATGTACCATGGTTCCTAGTGAACTGAAGAAGGCTCTGGATGTGGAGGTAACAGTAATCTGTAATCCACACAGGGGTTGCAGGCTCATGAGAACCCATCCTCATTGGTCTCGGACCGGATGTTAACAGCTGTGGATTTGGACAGTCTAGCCTTAAATAAAAGTCTTGCCCCTACTTCAGCAGATGTCCTCCTGTCAATTAGCAACTGCTACAGAAGAAGCTGCAGAAGTGGAGCTCACGCATGTTTTAAAGTTTTTCCTTGTTTTGTTGCAGTTTTACAGGTGTACCGCCGGTGTTCCGAGAAATTAGTTTCCCCTAAAATATGTTTCCCTAATAACTTAGGCAAATAAAAAAACAAATGTTTCCAAATTCACAGGACTTGATGTCCGTTATGAGGACCAGACAACCTCAAATAAAAGATGGTTAAACTTTGTGAGATTACATCCTTTTACGTAACTTTCAATAATGAATAAAAGCTGGAGAAGAGGGAACGACAATGATTTTACTGTACATTTTATTGTTTTATGGGGAAATATAAAAAATACAAGCATGACATTATTACATTACATAATTTTCCTGTAAAAGTCGATCACAAATGGTGTGAAGAGCCTGAAGGATGACCTCCCAACACAGGAAAGCACATTTCAGGGGAACAACATTTCTCACAACACAGGTGAACAGAATATTTCAGGGGAACGGAGTATCTCACAGCACCTGTCCCACAGTGCATCTCTGGATTTATGGAGTTGAAGAGACTACACCTTACCCGCCCTCTAAATCAGGGAAAAGAACAACAGATTTCAAGATCGCATTCTTTAAATTTGGACAATCTTCCTCCGGGTGCTGTGATGTCACTGGTCTGAAAATCTGACCTCATGAGCATGCAACCTCTGAATCTGAACACAGCCATCGTCTCATTGTCCTGCCTGCTGATTGGTTTGTGGTGTTTTGTGGAATATGACACCATTCTGTCCCTTTAGCCTCCTAGCAGCTCAAAAGCAGCAGCGTTCACTGAAGCCTTCCTGAAGAACAGCATTAAGACACCTGCACGCCTGGACCTCGACACCTTGCTAGCTCACAAGGCTGTGATCCTGGGCTACACGCGACCTAAGAAGGACACAACTAAAAGGAAGAGCAAGAAAGCCAAAGGACTGGGTGCTCGACAAAAGAGGGTGATGAAAATCTTCCAGATCAAAGCTGAACACCAGAGGTTTGTGGGGGGTGGGGTTTGATCAGGACTCTCCCTGGGATCCATGTCTGAGTTCTGTGTGTTTGCAGGTATGAGCTCTTCCTGCCCCTGCACCAGCTCTGGAGACACTACATATTGGACCTGTGTGGAGGACTGAAGCCATCAGGGTAAGATGGTGGCATGTGGCCCTGTGCACACCTGGCTGGGGCTAACATCTGTCCTGATGGAGCTGAGACTCCTGGGTGGTGAATTAGTGAAGTGTCACAACATTGTTCTGGACCAGAAGTTTAAATGGTCTCTGCAGTGGGATCTTTGTTGAAGCTGAGCAGACCTGCTTGGTTCGTCTTGTAAAACAGCTTTAGTCAAACAAAGATGACCTTTTGTGACATCAGTGTTTAGGTTTCCCACATTGCATCACAGGAGTGTGTGGCATGAAACAACGTATGCTACCTATAAATCGATTGTTTTATATGTTTGGAGGAGGATTTAGTGGAGCAAATGGATCTCATTTAGGGCTGGGCGATATGGCCTAAAATCAATATCACGATGGGTGCTTACAGGAAAATGTGAGAAAACAAAACAAATCACATTTCTCTTTATGGCCTATATAGTTGTCATCATCAACGTAACATGATTTACAGAACACATACGACCAACTAGCATTTCATGTTCTACCACTGGATGTTTGGATCAGAATGGGAACCAATCAGATCTTAGATCAGGTGAGAGCCAGGCATTTCCCGTCATGCCTTAGGTTTTGCAGCTGGTGGAGAGCAACTGCAGCACCTAGCTCCGATATATTGAGGATTTCACCTGGATAACGATAAATGGATGATAACTGCAGGTATGTACAGAGACAAAAGTTGTCCATTAGATGGGGCTTTCACGTGGATTACGTTGGGTCACGTTTTTACATGACTTAAGGTGGTACAGCTTCTTAAAGCATGAACACTGATTAACGACCGTTATAATAATGAACAAGGACACTGATTAACGACCGTTATAATAATGCACAAGGACACTGATTAACGACCATTATAATAATGAACAAGGACACTGATTAACGACCGTTATGATAATGCACAAGGACACTGATTAACGACCGTCATAATAATGAACAAGGACGCTGATTAACGACCGTTCTAATAATGAACAAGGACACTGAATAACGACCGTCATAATAATGAACAAGGACACTGAATAACGACCGTCATAATAATGATCAAGGACACTGATTAACGACCGTTATAATAATAAACAAAGACACTGATTAACGACCGTCATAATAATGAACAAGGACACTGAATAACAACTGTTATAATAATGAACAAGGACACTGATTAACGTCCGTCATAATAATGAACAAGGACACTGATTAACGACCGTTATAATAATGAACAAGGACACCGATTAACGAACGTCATAATAATAAACAAGGACACCGATTAACGACCGTTTTAATAATGAACAAGGCCACTGATTAACAACCTTCATAATAATAAACAAGGACACTGATCAACGACCGTCATAATAATAAACAAGAACATTGATCAACGACCATCATAATAATGAACAAGGACACTGATTAACGTCCGTCATAATAATGAACAAGTACACTGATTAACGACCGTCATAATAATGAATAAGGACACTGATTAACGACCGTCATAATAATGAACAAGGACACTGATTAACGACCGTCATAATAATGAACAAGGACACTGATTAACGACCGTCATAATAATGAACAAGGACACTGAATAACGACCGTCATAATAATAAACAAGGACACTGAATAACGACCGTCATAATAATAAACAAGGACACTGATCAATGACCGTCATAATAATAAACAAGGACACTGATCAACGACCATCATAATAATGAACAAGGACACTGAATAACGACCGTTATAATAATGAACAAGGACACTGATTAATGACCGTTATAATAATGAACAAGGACACCGATTAACGACTGTTATAATAATAAACAAGGACACCGATTAACGACCGTTATAATAATGAACAAGGACACTGATCAACGACCATCATAATAATGAACAAGGACACTGAATAACGACCGTTATAATAATGAACAAGGACACCGATTAACGACCGTTATAATAATAAACAAGGACACCGATTAACGACCGTTATAATAATGAACAAGGACACTGATTAACGACCGTCATAATAATAAACAAGGACACTGATTAACGACCGTTATAATAATGCACAAGGACACTGATTAACGACCGTCATAATAATGAACAAGGACACTGATTAACGACCGTCATAATAATGAACAAGGACACCGATTAACGTCCGTCATAATAATGAACAAGGACACTGATTAACGACCATCATAATAATGAACAAGGACACTGATTAACGTCCGTCATAATAATAAACAAGGACACTGATCAACGACCATCATAATAATGAACAAGGACACTGATTAACGTCCGTCATAATAATGAACAAGGACACTGATTAACGACCGTCATAATAATGAATAAGGACACTGATTAACGACCGTCATAATAATGAACAAGGACACTGATTAACGTCCGTCATAATAATGAACAAGGACACTGATTAACGACCGTCATAATAATGAACAAGGACACTGATTAACGACCGTCATAATAATGAACAAGGACACTGAATAACGACCGTCATAATAATAAACAAGGACACTGATCAACGACCGTCATAATAATAAACAAGGACACTGATCAACGACCATCATAATAATGAACAAGGACACTGAATAACGACCGTTATAATAATGAACAAGGACACTGATTAATGACCGTTATAATAATGAACAAGGACACCGATTAACGACCGTTATAATAATAAACAAGGACACTGATTAACGACCGTCATGATAATGAACAAGGACACTGATTAACGACCGTCATAATAATGAACAAGGACACTGATTAACGATCGTCATAATAATGAACAAGGACACTGATAAACGACCATCATAATAATGAACAAGGACACTGATTAACGACCGTCATAATAATGAACAAGGACACTGATTAACGACCGTTATAATAATGAACAAGGACACTGATTAACGAACGTCATAATACTAAACAAGGACATTGATTAACGACCGTTTTAATAATGAACAAGGCCACTGATTAACGACCGTCATAATAATAAACAAGGACACTGATTAACGACCTTCATAATAATAAACATGGACACTGATCAACGACCGTCATAATAATAAACAAGGACACTGATCAACGACCATCATAATAATGAACAAGGACACTGATTAACGTCCGTCATAATAATGAACAAGGACACTGATTAACGACCGTCATAATAATGAACAAGGACACTGATTAACGACCGTCGTAATAATGAACAAGGACACTGAATAACGACCGTCATAATAATAAACAAGGACACTGATCAACGACCGTCATAATAATAAACAAGGACACTGATCAACGACCATCATAATAATGAACAAGGACACTGAATAACGACCGTTATAATAATGAACAAAGACACTGATTAATGACCGTTATAATAATGAACAAGGACACCGATTAACGACCGTTATAATAATGAACAAGGACACTGATTAACGTCCGTCATAATAATGAACAAGGACACTGATTAATGACCGTTATAATAATGAACAAGGACACCGATTAACGACCGTTATAATAATAAACAAGGACACCGATTAACGACCGTTATAATAATGAACAAGGACACTGATTAACGACCGTCATAATAATAAACAAGGACACTGATTAACGACCGTTATAATAATGCACAAGGACACTGATTAACGACCGTCATAATAATGAACAAGGACACTGATTAACGACCGTCATAATAATGAACAAGGACACTGATTAACGACCGTTATAATAATGAACAAGGACATTGATCAACGACCGTCATAATAATAAACAAGGACATTGATCAACGACCATCATAATAATGAACAAGGACACTGATTAACGTCCGTCATAATAATGAACAAGTACACTGATTAACGACCGTCATAATAATGAATAAGGACACTGATTAACGACCGTCATAATAATGAACAAGGACACTGATTAACGTCCGTCATAATAATGAACAAGGACACTGATTAACGACCGTCATAATAATGAACAAGGACACTGATTAACGACCGTCATAATAATGAACAAGGACACTGATTAACGACCGTCATAATAATGAACAAGGACACTGATTAACGTCCGTCATAATAATGAACAAGGACACTGATTAACGACCGTCATAATAATGAACAAGGACACTGATTAACGACCGTCATAATAATGAACAAGGACACTGATTAACGACCGTCATAATAATGAACAAGGACACTGATTAACGACCATTATAATAATGAACAAAGACACTGAATAACGACCGTCATAATAATAAACAAGGACACTGATCAACTACCGTCATAATAATAAACAAGGACACTGATCAAAGACCGTCATAATAATGAACAAGGACACTGATCAATGACCGTTATAATAATGAACAAGGACACCGATTAACGACCGTCATAATAATGAACAAGGACACTGATTAACGACCGTCATAATAATAAACAAGGACACTGATCAATGACCGTCATAATAATAAACAAGGACACTGATCAACGACCGTCTTAATAATGAACAAGGACACTGATTAACGATCGTCATAATAATGAACAAGGACACTGATCAACGACCGTCATAATAATAAACAAGGACACTGATCAACGACCGTCATAATAATGAACAAGGACACTGATCAACGACTGTCATAATAATAAACAAGGACACTGATAAACGACCGTCATAATAATGAACTAGGACACTGATCAATGACCGTCTAAATAATGCACAAGGACACTGATTATCGACCGTCATAATAATAAACAAGGACACTGATCAACGACCGTCATAATAATAAACAAGGACACTGATCAACGACCGTCATAATAATGAACAAGGACACTGATCAACGACCGTCATAATAATAAACAAGGACACTGATCAACCGTCATAATAATGAACAAGGACACTGATTAACGACCGTCTTAATAATGAACAAGGACACTGATTAACGACCGTTTAAAATAATGAACAAGGACACTGATTAACGACCGTCATAATAATGAACAAGGACACTGATTAACGACCGTTATAATAATGAACAAGGACACTGATTAACGACCGTTATAGTAATGAACAAGTACACTGATTAACAACCGTCATACTAATGAACAAGGACACTGATTAACGACCGTCATAATAATGAACAAGGCCACTGATTAACGACCGTCATAATAATGAACAAGGACACTGATCAACGACCGTCATAATAATGAACAAGGACACTGATCAACGACCGTCATAATAATAAACAAGGACACTGATCAACGACCGTCATAATAATGAACAAGGACACTGATCAACCGTCATAATAATGAACAAGGACACTGATTAACGACCGTCATAATAATGAACAAGGACACTGATCAACGACCTTCAATAATAAACAAGGGCACTGATCAACGACCTTCAAAATAATGAACAAGGACACTGATTAACGACCGTCATAATAATGAACAAGGACACTGATTAACGACCGTCATAATAATGAACAAGGACACTGAATAACGACCGTCATAATAATGAACAAGGACACTGATTAACGACCGTCATAATAATGAACAAGGACACTGATTAACGACTGTCATAATAATGAACAAGGACACTGATTAACGACCGTTATAATAATGAACAAGGACACTGAATAACGACAGTCATAATAATGAACAAGGGCACTGATTAACGACCGTTATAATAATGAACAAGGGCACTGATTAACGACCTTTATAATAATGAACAAGGACACAGATTAACGACCGTTATAATAATGAACAAGGACACTGAATAACGATCGTCATAATAATAAACAAGGACACTGATCAACAACCGTCATAATAATGAACAAGGACACTGATTAACGACCGTCATAATAATAAACAAGGACACTGATTAACGACCGTTATAAGCGTTACATCAGGGATTTCGCCCGTTAATTCTTGGTAAAGTGTAAGTTGTGTATTGTAACATGCACACAACGATGATGTCAGCAAAAATCCTCCTGTACCAGAGGAATCTGAGCTTTTCAGCCCGGTGTTGGACAAATAACATGGTTCTGATGTGGTTCTAGAGACACCAGCTGACCATGGGTCAGAGTTCTGTTCATAATTGTTATCAGACCTACCTGTCCGGATCCCACACAGCATCTGACTCGACTTCAAAGCCTGATCGCTTCTGTGAGTTTGTGACGTCACTGAACCTCTGTGGCCACATGTTGTGTCCTTGGGCAAGACACTTCACCCAACTTGCCTGTGTTGGTGTTGGTCAGAGGGGCCGGCGGCACCAAATGGCAGCCTCACCTCTGTCAGAGCGCTTTAGTGTGGCTGTGTCTACGAAGTAGCTTACCATCACTGGCAGTGTGTGAATGTGAGAGTTCACGCAAGCGTCCTTGAGTGTCCTAATAAAGCGCTATACAAGTTTGATGATTATTATTATGATTAGCATGCAGGATAGGTGTCACCGCCACGTGTGAACTGTAAGTAGACCAGCAGGATGGTGTCCCTTCATGTCTCCTGTCTTCACAGCAGTCCACAGTTGGTGCAGCAGAAGCTTCTGAAAGCAGACCTCCATGGAGCCATCCTGACAGGTAGATGTTGGCTGGTTCTGGGTGTCACAGGCACGGTCCTGAACCCAGATCAGCTTCTGGTTGAGTTTATATTTCCTACTAAAAGATGCATCTAGAACCAAAGTGATGTTCTAATGATCAAAGTTCTGTTAGAGGTTTACAGCAGGGCAGACTGGGCCCACCCTCTCTTGTGCTTGTATTGTTGGCATGTGAGACTACATAACCGGTTCTCCTGTCTCAGTGGTCCGGTCCAGATGTCCATCATACGTGGGGACAACAGGGATTCTAGTGCAGGAGTTCAAACACGTCTTCAGACTCATCACCAAGGAGGACAAACTCAAAGGTGAGAGGACAAGACCCAACACAACCGTGACTTGGTTCTCTGCAGAGGAACATGAGTGATTTTTACCACGGAACCGTTGTAACCGGCAGCTTCTCTTTCCCGTCTCTGTGTCAGTAATTCCCAAGAGGAACAGCGTGTTTTCCGTGGAGATCAACGGATTCGTTTCACACATCTATGGAAGCAAGTTCCAGCAGCGGGCCAGCGAGCGCTCCGCCAAGAAGTTCAAGATCAGAGGGACCATGGACCTGTGAGGGCCACGGACCTCAGATCAGCTGACTCATCAAAGGGAAGAGCTGATGACATCATCAGCTGCATTGGGTGGAGCTGTGTGATGGAGAAGAAGAGTTGGAGGCTCTGTCCTGCATACATGTAGCTGATCTCACACACACACACACACACACACACACACACACACACACACACACACACCTACTGTCACACTTAATAATAAACAACAAAACAGTTTGTTTCTATGTGTCTTTTTAAAATGTGAAGGTTATGTTTTCACAAGGCAGAGCTCTGCTCCCAGGTTCCTCTGTGGTTTAACTGGCTCAACCCTTTAGTTATGCGGCTGTAGAGTCATGGTTTGTGGGTTTAGCTGATGATAACAGGTGTCAGTCAGACCTCAGAGCCAGAACTATGATGGCTTCTGGTAGCAGAGCTGCTACAGGTGGATTTCCTGATCAGTGGTTGTGTTTTGCAGAGGCTGGTTCTCATGAAGGTTTCATGAGGTCCGGTTTAGTTTCCGAGCAACTGCTTGGTAGACACAACAACATTGCGTCTGATGCTTTATTAATAATCAACTAGTGTATAGCAGACCAAATTATTTTACATCCAGAACTCAGTTTCTTCCAGATACAAGGGTTCTGATAAACATCACATTCAATCACCACATATACATCCATCCCATATCGTTATTCATAACTTGTCATGTATTATAGTCTAGAAAATAAAGTTTATTTTTAATTATATACTTGACTCTGTCTGAATTAATACGAAGTGTGTTTATAGTCACTGAATAAGCAAAGAATCCTAAATTCTTCTGGTTAAACATTCAAAGATCAATCAGGTTGATATTCTATATTTATATAGAGTCATCACATCTTATTGGTCATAATTTAACCCCCCAATCACGACATTACAAAATCATGATTGTCTCTGAAGCCTGGGTCTTAGTGCTACCCCTTACTCAGATCCTGCCAACAACATGCGTGGCGTTAGCATGTTCTCATGCATTTGTGGTGTTAGCATGTTCTCATACATGTGTGGTGTGAGCATGTTCTCACGCATGTGTGGCATTAGCATGTTCTCATGCATGTGTGGAGTTAGCATGTTCTCCTCATACATGTGTGGCGTTAGCGTGTTCTCATGCATGTGTGGAGTTAGCATGTTCTCCTTATGCATGTGTGGCGTTAGCGTGTTCTCCTCATGCATGTGTTGCATTAGCATGTTCCCCTCATACATGTTTGGTGTTAGCATGTTCTCATACATGTGTGGCATTAGCATGTTCTCATGCATGTGTGGAGTTAGCATGTTCTCCTCATGCATGTGTGGCATTAGCGTGTTCTCCTCATGCATGTGTTGCATTAGCATGTTCTCCTCATACATGTTTGGTGTTAGCATGTTCTCCTCATGCATGTGTGGCGTTAGCATGTTCTCCTCATGCATGTGTGGCATTAGCATGTTCTCCTCATGCATGTGTGGCGTTAGCATGTTCTCCACATGCATGTGTGGTGTTAGCATGTTCTCCTCATGCATGTGTGGCGTTAGCATGTTCTCATGCATGTGTGGAGTTAGCATGTTCTCATGCATGTGTGGAGTTAGCAAGTTCTCCTCATGCATGTGTGGAGTTAGCATGTTCTCCTCATGCATGTGTGGAGTTAGCATGTTCTCCTCACGCTTGTGTGGCGTTAGCAAGTTCTCCTCGTGCATGTGTGGAGTTAGCATGTTCTCCTCACACGTGTGGTGTTGGCATGTTCTCCTCACGCTTGTGTGGTGTTAGCATGTTCTCCTCATGCATGTGTGGCATTAGCATGTTCTCCTCATGCATGTGTTGCATTAGCATGTTCTCCTCATGCATGTGTGGAGTTGGCATCTTCTCCTCACGCATGTGTGGAGTTAGCATGTGTGGAGTTAGTATGTTCTCCTCATGCATGTGTGGCATTAGCATGTTCTCATGCAGGTGTGGTGTTAGCATGTTCTCATGCATGTGTGGCGTTAGCATGTTCTCCTCATGCATGTGTGGCGTTAGCATGTTCTCCTCATGCATGTGTGGCGTTAGCATGTTCTCCTCATGCATGTGTGGCGTTGGCATGTTCTCATGCAGGTGTGAGTTTCCTTCGAGTACTCTGGTTCCTATACTGAACTGTATTGGAATGTTTACTCTGTGAATTGCCTTGAGAAGACTCTTGTTGTGATTTGGCGCTATATAAATTGAAAAGAATTGAAATGTAATTGAATTTTCTCCCATAGTCCAAAAAATATACATGTTGGGTTAACTGGCAACAATTTTGCCCCTAGGTGTGAGTGTGCCTGTTTGATTGTTTCTGTAAAGGACTGGAGACCTGAACAGGATGTCCCCCACCTCTCACCTGCTGAAAAATGGAGTTTGAGAACCAGCACTGTGTAAACCTGATGAGAAGTATATGGTCACGAAAATGAATGAATGATTGATTGACTGAATGAGGCTAAAATGGACAAGGTCTTAAAAACAACAAAAGTTAGTTTTATTTAATCATGTGAGTTAATAGTCTTATTAAAAAGGAGCCACACTTTATGCATTCAGACTTTATTCAGTGTACAAAATTATATCCAATGTTAGAAAATATTCACTTTTATATACAATGAGACTTTTAAAAATGGTCTTTTGGTAACAAAATAAAAAACAGGTTTAACAAGCTCATGAATCTGATTGTAAGAAATATTACTGATAGCAAACATTTATCATTAAAATACATTTGTTCAAAACTGAAGCATTAGCTTCTAAAGACACTTTGTTCTATGGTCCACTAATCTAGCATAAGACAGTAGAAAATAAGTACCACAACACAGCTGTAACCCTGTGATCTATGAAGAGAAAACATGAATATGACTAAACTCCTGAGAGATGTTGGTAGTTTAGTCCAACTACACTCAACAAAAATATAAACGCAACACTTGTTTTTGCTCCCATTTTTCATGAGATGGACTTAAAGATCTAAAATTCATTCCAGATACACAATATTACCATTTCTCTCAAACATTGTTCACAAATCAGTCTTTATGTGTTATAGTGAGCACTTCTGCTTTGCTGAGATAATCCATCCCACCTCACAGGTGTGTCACATCAAGATGCTGATCTGACATCATGAGTAGTGCACAGGTGTACCTTAGACTGCCCACAATAAAAGGCCACCCTGGAATGTGCAGTTTTGTCTCAACAAAATGCCACAGATCCCACAAGCATTGAGGGAGTGTGCAATTGGCATACTGACAGAAGGAATGTCAACCAGATCTGTTGCTCGTGCATTGAATGTTCATTTCTCCACCATAAGCCATCTCCAAAGGCGTTTCAGAGAATATGGCAGTACATCCAACCGGCCTCACAACCGCAGACGACGTGTAACCACACCAGCCAAGGACCTCCACATCCAGCAGGTTCACCTCCAAGATCGTCTGAGACCAGCCGCTCAGAAAGCTGCTGAAACAATTGGTTTGCATAACCAAACAATTTCTGCACAAACTGTCAGAAACCGTCTCAGGGAAGCTCAACTGCATGCTCTTCATCCTCATCGGGGTCTTGACCTGACTCCAGCTCGTCGCCGTAAGAGACTTGAGTGGGCAAATGCTCATATTCGATAGCGTCTGGCACGTTGGAGAGGTGTCTTCACGGATGAATTTCGGTTTACATTGTTCAGGGAAGATGGCAGACAGTGTGTGTGGCGTTGTGTGGGTGAGTGCTTTGCTGATGTCAATGTTGTGGATCGAGTGGCCCATGGTGGTGGTGGGGTTATGGAATGGGTTAGCATCTGTTATGGACGAAGAACACAGGTGCATTTTATTGATGGCATTTTGAATGCACAGAGATACCGTGATGAGATCCTGAGGCCCATTGTTGTGCCGTACATCCACAAACATCACCTCATGTTTCAGCAAGATAATGCACGGCCCCATGTTGCAAGGATCTGTACACAATTCTTGGAAGCTGAAAATGTCCCAGTTCTTGCATGGTCAGCATACTCACCGGACATGTCACCCGTTGAGCATGTTTGGGATGTGCTTGACCGGCGTATATGACAGCGTGTACCAGTTCCCACTAATATCCAACAACTTCGCTTGAAGAGGAGTGGACCAACATTCCACAGGCCACAATTGACAATCTGATAAACTCTGCAAAGAAGATGTGTTGCACTGCATGAGGCAAATGGTGGTCACACCAGATACTGACCGTTTCTGAGTCCCCAGACCCCCAATAAAGCAAAAAAACTGCACATTCCAGGGTGGCCTTTTATTGTGAGCAGTCTAAGGTACACCTGTGCACTACTCATAATGTCAGATCAGCATCTTGATGTGGCACACCTGTGAGGTGGGATGGATTATCTCAGCAAAGCAGAAGTGATCACTATCACACATTTAGACTGATTTGTGAACAATGTTTGAGAGAAATGGTAATATTGTATATCTGGAATGAATTTTAGATCTTTAAGTCCATCTCATGAAAAATGGGAGCAAGAACAAAAGTGTTGCGTTTATATTTTTGTTCAGTGTATGATCAACACGCGGAAGGATGATCATCGCCATCATCATCATTGCCATATTTGCAGCTCAACCTTTACACCAACATGAGAAGCGCATCAGAGGGTTTAAAATCTGATGTTAACCCTTTCACTACTCCTGTTACATTTTATTTATGTTGCTTAAAGGTGCAATTTGTAAGAATGACATCCTATGGTCAAATGTGGGTACTGCAGTCCATTTTTTGAGCTAAGATTTTACTCTCACTGCCAGTTACGGAACAGCACCAGAAGATTCTAGATGACAAGCAAAGATGACTCCTACACAATAAGATGATAAGGTCAGTGTTAGCGTTCTTAGGTGTTTTATGGTAGGGAGGACGTACCACACTTATTATGGTAGTTTGTCTCCAGCATTAGCAGAAATGTGGATATCCGTCTTGCTGTTATAGTTCTGAATGACTCATTAAAGGAAGTAAAATGTCACTGCAATATCCATTTGTTGGTAATAGAAAAATTAGCTGGACAATTTGTTAGTTAACCTTTAGCATTGTTAGCTCAACGTTAGCATCTAGCCTCCTTTAACCAATATTAGAGTAAAACAAAAGGATTTTGTAGCTTCTTAGGGATACAAGAAATAACTTCTGGGTGGCTCCTGTTTACTGGGCTTGAGACTTTAAACAACTCTGGAGTTTTTGGTGTAAATGAACAAATGCATTAGCTGCTGTGTAAGCTTGCTGCAGATTCAGCAACGTCTCAGACTCACAGAGTGTACACAGTAACTACGGCCCTCTTCAGTGCCGGCTGGTGAATTTTGTTTTGGTAGGGCATATTTTTGCCATCTGTTTTCAGTTGCACTTACCACATACCCCACGAGGGGATGCCAAATTACCATTCTTATGCATCACACAACTTGAACACGACGGACCTGGTACCAGGTCCATGAGCACTTCCAGTAACAAAGTTGTTCCAAAAACATGCGTAATATTCACCAACATATGCAAACTGTGCACGCACTTGGGAATGAGAATGGGAAGAGGCTCATCTAAATGACAGAATCCACATCTACCACCTCACCAGCACCCAATGACAATAAAAGAAGGCAAATTTCATGAAGTTAAAAGCATGAATTCAGTCTTACTTTTGCTGGTTTATGGTCATGATAATCTGTGTTACGGTAAAAAATATTCCACTCGGTTCGTGTAATCCAATGTCCTAACGTCACACTGAGGTGATTCCTGACTGTCTTGAGCTTTATTTTTTTTACCTGCTAGAGAGTGTTTACAAGTCTCCGACGCCTGATTCCATCATTTTCTGGTTCTCCATAATAAAGGACAGTCCAGCAGGTGTAGTCAGCGACGGTGAACTGGTTAGAGCGTCCGGTCCTGGGTGAACATCCTGATCTGAGCTGAGACTCCGCCTGGTTTCGGTCACAAACCTCTGCAACCAAAGGCTCTCCTATTCTTTGTATTGGAGGGGGATCCAGCGCGCATGCACCTGTTATAGCGTAGGTCTACGGCAGAGATTGTTGCACCCAAAAGAAACAGGAAATACGTCACAAGACGATTCAGTCGTGGTAAAAGTGTGAAATCACATTTTTTAACTACACTACGATGCAGATAAAACACAGCACTTAACAGTCCGTACGATGTAAAGATCGTTTAGTTTTCATGTTTTTTTATTTCTATCTTCTTCCTGTGAGATTGGTGGGGCGGTGCCCTAGCGCCCCATCAGCGAGCCGCCACTGCCCTCTTTCCTTTTTTTTTTTGAATAGACAAAAACTAAAATGTCAAATGTGCTTCAGTAGAACCTTCCTCCCAACATGACTGAGACATTAGACTGTTTTGTGATTATTTCACAGTAGAAATCTTACAAACTGCACCTTCAACTGCTGTTAATCCCTTTGAGTCAAGGGTTTTCTCCAGATGTGTGACTGAGATCTAACAACCCAAACAAGCTGAGCAGCACCAAGCATCAAGTTGAAGAGAGAGTAGAAATAATGGAGTTTAGAAGCAAGCAGTTGCCCTTCATGCCTACCTATTCTGAAGCTCTGGTCCAAACCCGAACCCTGAACCCTTACGCCACATTTTACCAATCCAATCCTTCTCTGGATGAACCTCCGACTTCAGCTTGAAGACATGATAGGAACCTCTCAGCTGGATAAACGGGTCAGAAACAGCGGAACTGGAAAGATTTGACTTTAACCGTCTTTAATCTGACATAGCATCCTTCAGCTCGTGGCGGTGGGGGGCTCCCAGGCTCGGTGGGACAGCGTTTAACAGACCTGAGTGGATCTGATCTGGTGACCTTCACCAGCTCATCCTGCTGCTCGAGCTTTTGGTGCGTTTCAGCTTTTGGACCTCCTTCAGGACGTGGTCAGCCTTCTTCAGCTTCTCCAGTGCTTTGCCCAGGAGCTCCTCTGGCATGCCCCCACCATTCCCTTCACCTTGAGCCTTGCTCAGAAGCTCACTTGTTCTTTGGATCTCCAGCGCTACTTCAGCCTCCAGCTTTGTGACTATGGGATCTGGTGCACCACTGCTGCTCAGCTCCAGCTGAGGAGAACCTGAAGACTCTGACAGCAGATCTCCGATAGAGACTGACCTGGGCTTGCTTGGAGGTTTGGGGGGTTTCTGGTTGGGCTCAGATCGGCAATAGGAGAGGGTGTTTGATCGAACCTGGAGCTCGGCCGCAGGCCTCAGATGAACAGAAGTCTGGATGTTGTCCTCAACCACGTCCAGAACATCCAGAGCAACGTGGCTTCCCTGAAGAGCCGATGTGGAAGCAGCCAGTGTGTCTTCACTCCCAGAACCTTCACTCTCATCATCTGAGTGCTGACCACTGTCCACAGACTTCTCCTCCGCCTTCTTCTTCTTCTCTCCAGCTAAGTTAGAGAGAAGGGGGCTGAGGCCGAAGCTGTCGGTGAGCGGGTCGGCGTCAGAGACAGCCACTAACGGGACCTTGCTCTGGAGGGGGACCTCTAGTGCTGGGAGGGGACCTGCTGAGTCATCAGAGTCCAGTGCGCCTTTAGGCTGGCTGATGACTGAGGGCTCTTCTGGGTGCTGGGTGGAGAGAGGAGGACGCTCTGCTGGGTCAGACGTCCTCGTGTTGCTCACCACCTCCTGAGTGATTCCATCAGAAACGTCCCCTTCAGCAGTGCTACTCTCAGGGTCATTATCACTGAGGTGAGGAAGAACGTTTAGTTCCTCCTTGGCTCCTACAGCTGTTTCACTCCCACTGTCGTCCTCCTTCGTGGGCTCTTCAGCAGCTTGACATGGCTTTGTCTCTTTGGATGGAGGAGTGGGAGGGCGGACCGTGGTTGTTGAGATCAAGGGTTTGCCGGGCGGGGTCGGTGGCGGTCCTGTCTTTTTCTTGGCTCCAGTTTTTGGATCCTCTGAAGCTTCTTCAGCAGGTTTGGCTTCTTTAGATGGAGGCATGGGTGGCTTCTTAAAAAACAAACAAACATGTTTAAACAGCTTCCCAGATGTTTCTGCACAGCAGCACATCTACAAACCTTTATCGCTGGACTATCATCGTTCTCAGGTTGGTCCTCAGAGGCTGCACTGGGTTTAGCCTCTTTGGTAGGAGGCATCGGGGGCTTGATGACCTTCTGAGAAGCAGCCTCTGGCTCAGCACCAGTGCCCTCCTGTCCAGCTGACTGAGGGCTCGGGTGCAGCACGTCTTTAGAGAGCTCGGCTCCGTCAGTGCTGGTGAGCTGAGTCCCGTTTGGCATAACTGCATCGTCGAGATTAAGATCCAAACGCAGGATCCCATCAGACGACACATCAGCCACCTTCAACAACAAACAGCTCAAGTTAGTTTAGTGGAAAGCAGCGTGCTCTACATCCGTTTGGACCTCACATATCTTCTCCTTGTGTCAGCACTGAACCCCTGGAGCTGTTTCTACTGGATCTTCTTTACCTGCTGAGCTCGTTGTTACTGAGAGGAACCGCAGATGGGTCCAGATAACATCACAGAGCTGCAGCAGGAGATCCTGGATGGATCAGGACCAACGCAGGGCTTCAGATGGTTCAGATCTAAAAGTAATGCCGTTCGCTGGTTCTGCTTGGTGTTTAGTTCAGATTATCCGTCACAAATCCTCAGAAAGTGACATTAAATCCAAATTTATGAAACAAAATAAAACAAAATAGACAGTAAAAGGGAAAAAAATCCAACGTAAATATTACAGTAGTGGATGTTAACAGGTGACAGGTGAGGTTTGGTGGGTTACCTGTACTAAACCACCTTAGCCTAAGCAAAAGGAGTTAACAGCTTGTCTCTGAATCACACACACACACACACCTCTTTCATGTGTATCCTGGTCGGCGGGCGCCGGTTTCGGTTCCCTTTGGGTCTGGTTCGAGTGACATGCTCCAAGTTGCTGCTTTCATCAACCTTCACCTGCAGAACCACGACAGAGTGAGCTTTAGGAGGTGTCGGATCAGGACACACTCCGACACTGGATCACACACGTTTACCTCATCAAAAACCTTGTTCTTCGCACGGTTGATGCCATCAGAGAGGGCTTTAATCCAGGCATCCTTCTCCTCGGCGGTTTGAGTCTGAAACTTTAAATCGTGGACCTGCTGATGACAGGAAGCACCGCCATCTTTACTCTGGGTCAGAAACCTCTAGGCTGTTCTGTCTGGACTGAGCTAAGCAGCACCAGGACGAGATCTAGGACAAGTGTGTGTGTGTGTGTGTGTGTGCGTGCGTGCGTGTGTGTGTGTGTGTGTGTGTGTGCGTGCGTGTGTGTGTGTGTGCGCGCGCATATGATGTCTATAAAGTCACACGTAACCGTGCACACATTTCACATCTGGAACACTTGTTGGAAGTCCTCGACACCCAGCTTGATTAGTTTTTTCAGTTTTTTCCGACATGATGAGTAAGAATAAAATAAATGAAAATGAGTCGTAGCTATCAGGCATTAGTGAACTTTTTTAAAACGGGAAAGTGTATTTTGGGTAAACACTTCTTATCCCTCTCCATACCACATGGTGGCAGTAATGCACAGATTTGTTGTCCTGCTACCGCAATTGTGGTCGAAGAGGAAGCCAATGGGCTCTTGGGGTGGGGGGCGGGGCAGATCAGCTACAGGCCCCGCCCCCAGAGTGCCAAGAGTCGAGGGAGCAAGTCAGCAACCAAGCACGGGGTGAGGCTGCCTTGCGTGTGCTTGTCACTGCCATGTGCTCGTTGGCCAGTGCGTGCATGCACGGCTGCCTTCAGTCACTTGTGCAGATGCTTGTGTGCTAGTAGACACTGTTCACTCGCTCAGCGTACAATGCCCTCTCGTCATGAGTCATAACTTCCTTGTGCATGTCACGTTTACATGTGCGATGTTGGACATAGAAACGGCGTGCGTGTGTTCTGGCACCATTTTGACACCATAGTGTTGTCATGTGTTGGTACGTCCCTCTAAATGGGACGTTGGCCACACACGGCCCTCAGACGCTCTCTGACCAGCCCATGTCAGACTGCTGGAATCCACAGTAAATGTGTGACTACGACACCTGTGAAGATGTTTATAAAACACCACTGCACAGCTTTTACTTTGAAGGCCATGTTTTTAACCTTTCCTGGCCAGCTGATGGACAGCTTTCAGAGTTCGCTGCTCACTGACTCTGAACACACCAGGCAGCGTCACTCACCTTATGTCCAGACTTGGGGGATCGGATCAAAATCAGCCGGTGCTTTTTCTTGAACGGGCTCTTTAATTCATGACAGGTATCATAATTTTCCAGATCAAGTCTTTCCAGGCAGTTCTTCAGATCCTGCAGCAGAGTAAAATAAAACGTTGCTGTCCCAACATGACACAAGCCAGTCTTTAGGTCTTCATCACCATCACCTAGAACCAAAGAGCTGCAGTCAGTCCAGTTACCTCGTTTTCATACACCACCATCTCCGTTTTCTCCACATGGACGTATCGCTCTTTGTAGCTTGTCAGCAGTCTGCCGTGAGCTTTCTTCACCCAGCCAGCTTTACTCAGGAACTTTGGCTCTTTCTGCTGGGCCGGGTCCTCTTTAATACCCTGCGGAGACACGGGAAGGAAATCACACCTCAAAGTGCTTTCAGAGTTCAGATGTTTTTTCTCTCTGTGTTTGTGGGTTAGGGTTTTACAAGTTAGGAGCACACGCGTCCACGTCCGGAGCAAATAAACAACTCTTCTCCTGACTTTCTAATGTTTGTGACTTTCAGCACCTGGAGCTGATCCATCCAGCTGTTTGGACTGGATCTGGGGACCTTCTCCAGGATCCTCTGCTGATCATGTGGTCAAACATCTCTGCAACTAGAGACCGAGTCACACCGACCACAGACAGCAGCCTGGATGAGGGGGGTTAAAGCTAGACATCATTGTCAGATCAGTGGGTGCTGTGGTGAATTTTCAGGGTTCAGCCTGACGCCCACATAAGCAGCACGCCCGGTGGATTCCGGTGCTGGACCTGTTTCATGTCTCCATGTGAACCTATCTGCTGTCTGGATTGAACCCAGAGCACTCTTCTCTCCAACCTGAATTAGTTGTAACTGTGACACCAGAGGGGTGGGAGCCTGTTGCTGGGGTCAGGCTGCAGCTACGTCAGGTTTACCTCTGACAGCCAAAAAGAAAAAGCTAAAGTGGTCATTTTAAAATATTACCGTTCAGCCATCATATAAGCTGTTTTATTCCATCACAGTTGTTGGTGGATGACTCACAACAAGTCACTTCCTGTCTGCAAAGCCAGAGAATAACTGCATCGCTGGTCTAAAGGCACCCGTCAGCAGAGGGCACCAAACAGTGAAACAACAGGAATGATCCATACAGCGCTGCAGCAGCAACCCCACATACAGGGGCGGAGCCTCAGGGGGGCAGCGGGGCCCTGGCCCAGGCTTAGGAGGGTGGTGCGGTTGTGAACTTGTTTGTGGAAGTTATTAAACTTGGAGGCGAATGTAGCGGAATTAGACCAGGTTCACTAGGGGCTGGATTAATATCCATCATGTTCAGAATCTGAAGGTTTTATATTCATATGTGCCAGAATCGCAACATTAGGAAATTTTGAAAAAGAAATAAACACAATGAAATGATAATAATACAGGAAATCAATCATTAGAGAAGCAGCCACTTCATACAAGTCAGTGTAGGTACTGGTCAGAGTGGATCAGTTCAGGTGGCAACACAACATAGGGTCATGTGACTGGAACATATCAACTGGAGTGGTCAGATTGACATTCAGGAGCCTGCAGATGGGAAGAAACTGTTCTTGTGGCAAGAGGTTCTCGTCCAAATGGATCGGACCCATTACAACCAAATGTAAGGCCACGCCATGACATCAGAATTCATTCCACCGCCACAGCCCCAACATCCCTCCAAATCTTCCAGCAATAGATGCTTCATTACACCAACTTCGGTAATTGGAAAGTGTCTAATGCTCAAGGATGGACCGCAGTAGCTCAGGAGAGAGAGCAGGTTGTTCAGTAATCTGAAGGTTGCAGGTTTAATCCCATCTCTGACCAGAGAATTCTGCTGTTGTGTCTTTGAGCAAGACACTTAACCCACTTTGCCTGCTGGTGGTGGTCGGAGGGACCGGTGGCACCTGTGCTGGGCAGCCTCGCCTCTGTCAGTGTGCCCCAGGGCCGCTGTGGCTACATCGTAGCTCATCACCATCAGTGTGTAAATGGGTGAATGACTGATTGTGTTGTGAAGCGCCTTGGGGGGTTATAGAACCCTAAAAAGGAGCTATACAAATACAGGCCATATTTACCTTAGAGTTTAACAATAGGCTTCCTGGTTACAGGGGGCGTGGCTTGGATGATGGCAGAAAATGACACTGTCATTGTCTTGAGATCTGATCTGTGGTCCGACACAAAGTTTGATATTGCTCTGATCATAAGTCTCTAAGTTAATAAACCAAGGAGTTTATTGGAAAAAGTCAATAATTGAGACTTCAAAAGCCACACAGTCAACTTTTGAAATCTCTTTTCACAACTTTTGTTCCCAGTTGCCTCAATAGCATAATGTATCATTTTGATGTCTGTAGGTCAAAAGCCCTAGGACAATGTATGTAAAAATAAGAAAATTGAGACATCTAACCAAAATGGCTGACTTCCTGTGGGGTTTGAACCATGCCTTCATCAGACGTTTTGGTACGTTTAAAGAAAGTGAAGTACAGTTGTGGTCAGAAGTTTACATACACTTGTAAAAAATATAATGTAATGGCTCTACTGAGTGTCCCGTTACTTCTAAAACTCTGATTTTTCTCTGATAGAGTGATTGGAACAGATACTTCTTTGTCACAAAAAACATTCATGAAGTTTGGTTCTCTTTCTTAACATTCGTTTCGATGTCTCACTATGGGATACGCCCCTCCGCGGATTCCTCAGAAGCACTTATCTCAATACGCCAATCCTGATTGGCCAGTGACCGTGACGTACGCGTCACCTGCTACTATAAGTAGCAAGCGTCCCAACGTACGCACTATTCAATCACCTCTTCTCGCTTCGGTGGTCGCTTATCTCTGAGGTAAGTTAGCTCAACTGTTCACAGACGGAGCCTTTTAATATTCTCTCCGTCGCTGAACGTTAACTTACCGTCCTTCTGTCCTGACCTTCACCATAGGCTCGGGGCATAACGAGCAGCTTCACACTCCAGTGCATCTGTTCGTTCTGTGCTAACACACCAGTTAGCCGACATGGAAGCCGCTCCTCCCACCAGAGGAGTCGACGGCGCAGGAGCTCGCCTCTGTACCTGTGGGAACAAAATCTCAAGCAAAGACCCGCACAGGGTCTGCTCGAGCTGCCTCGGGCTGGAACACGCCCAGCTGGCATTGGAGGTCCCCGGGTCATGTGAGAGCTGTGCTTGCTTCACCATGAAGAGCCTTCGCCGGCGGCTAGCGCGCCAAGCTAGCCTGTCGGGGAAGGACCCTTGCCTGCCGGCCCCTGGGCCACCGCCTGGGGACGCCAGCGAACATGTCCTCCCGGAGCCGGAACCGTGTGCCAAACTCAGCTGGGGCTCAGAGCTCGAACTGGCCGGTCCGAGCCACCCCGCCGAGGACGTGTTGGAGTTGGACTACGGAGACGACGTTTCTACTCCAGGTACTTCCTGGTCCCGAAGCGGGGAGGGACCGGGATTCGCCCGATCCTGGATCTGAGGGCCCTGAACCAATGCCTCAGAAATTACAGATTCAAAATGCTCACGCTCTCATCCCTTTTGCGTCTGATTCACCAGAACGACTGGTTCACCTCAATCAACCTGAGGGACGCATACTTTCATATTCCCGTGTACCCTCCACACAGGACATTTCTGAGGTTTGTCATTCAGGGAGTGTGTTACGAATACACCGTGCTCCCATTCGGCCTCTCGCTGAGCCCAAGGGTGTTTGTCAGGTGTACGGAGGCGGCGATCGCCCCTCTGAGAGGGAGGGGCATTCGGCTGGCCACGTATTTAGACGACTGGCTCCTGCTGGCACGGTCCAGAGAGGAGGCAGCGTCAAACACGCTGGTTGTGATCCATCACTTGTGTGGTCTGGGTTTCAGAATAAACTGGCAGAAAAGCGCTTTACTCCCCTCCCAGAAAACAACCTTTCTAGGTCTGAATCTGGACTCAGGGGCGTTCACGGCCCGTCTCTCGGCACCGCGCGTGAACGCGCTCTCGTTCTGCCTGGCGCGCTTCCGCCTACACAGTTCGGTGCGGTTTGCGTTATGCCTCAGGCTTTTGGGTCTCATGGCGTCGGCTATTTCAGTGGTACCACTCGGCCGTCTACACATGAGAGATTTTCAACGCTGGGTGGCTTCTCTGGGTCTCTCTCCAGTGCGCCACAGAGCGTGCAGGGTGATGGTCTCTGCAGCGTGCGTCGCAGAGCTCCGCTGTTGGCGTCACCCCTCCCTCTTGGCACAGGGGGTGCCTTTGGGGTTGGTTCTCGTGAGGAAAGTGGTCACGACAGATGCGAGCCTGTCAGGTTGGGGGGGCTCCTGGACGGTCGCTCTGTCAGGGGTGTGTGGAGCAGAGAGCTCTGGGGGACACACATAAATTATCTGGAACTCCTCGCGGTCTTTCTGGCCCTGAGGCGCTTCCTGCCTTTTCTCTCCGGCCATCATGTCCTAGTGAGAACAGACAACACCACGACTGTGGCTTATATAAACTGCCAGGGGGGGCTGCGCTCCATGCGGTTACACACGCTGGCACGCAGACTGATCCTATGGTGCAGCAGGCATCTCCTCTCAATCAGAGCCACCCACGTCCCGGGTGTTCTGAATCGGGGGGCGGATCTGTTGTCCAGAGGGACACCCCTGTACGGGGATTGGAGCCTGCATCCAGCAGTGTTGGAACAGATTTGGATCCGGTTCGGCACAGCCGTAGTGGATCTTTTTGCCTCCAAGGAGAATACTCAGTGTCCTCTGTTCTTCTCCCTGCGTGACCGAGACGCTCCACTCGGCGTGGACGCGCTGGCGCACGACTGGCCACGGGGACTGCTTTACGCTTTTCCCCCAGTGGCCCTGATGCCACCCACCTTGCTGAGGGTACGAACCCAGCGCCACACTCTCATTCTGGTGGCCCCATACTGGCCAGCCATGCATTGGGTGGCGGACATTTTCCAGCTCCTGGAGGGCCAACCTTGGAAACTGCCGCTTCGCAGGGACCTGGTGTCCCAAGCGGGAGGCTCGATCTTCCACCCTCATCCAGAACGGCTGGCCCTGTGGGCCTGGCCCCTGAGGGGTGTGGGCTAGTGTCAGCAGAGCTGCCCCAGGCAGTCATTCGAACCATTCAGAATGCTAGGGCCCCCTCCACTAGGTCCCTATATGACTGTAAATGGAGGGTGTTTGAAGCCTGGTGTCAGGGCAGGGAGGTCTCACCCTTCCAATGCCCGGTGAACGTCATTCTGTCTTTCCTGCAAGACTTGTTGGGTGGGAAGAAGGCTTTCTCCACCATTAAAGTGTACCTAGCAGCCATTTCCGCCCGACACTTGGGTTTTGGGAGGAAATTGGCAGGCCAACACCCCCTGGTGTGTAGCTTCATGAGGGGCGCTCGCAGGCTTCTCCCTGTGTCTCGACCCCTGG